TGAATCCTCCGATTGATCATCAAAAATGATTAATTTAACCACGATTGTATCGATGATCAATCGGAGAATTCTCAAATTCCACAGATATTTTCCAGTTCACACTACAACTTGGCGCCGATCATTCATGTTCATTAATTTTAAACCTCTAAAAAGGCCAATGCGAACTTTGATTATCCGGAATTTAGTGATATCACAACTTAGTGAAGCTCACTCATTTTAAACTCCTAAAAGTTAAAATTTGATTATCTCGAATTAAATTCTTGCGAGATTTTAGTCTAAACGCATTTAGTTGATTTATAAAATGCTTTAAAAGGCAATAATCGAACCTTTATTAAGCTTAGTAAAATTTGTAGATGTTTCCTTTTAACTTTATATTTCATTGTATATACTTTGTATGCATATTTAAGATAACATTCCAAAAAAGTTTTCTAAGTTAATCTTATCTAGGAAATTTTTAGTTATATATCAATGACACTTGTATTATTAATAAATTAAAAAGTAAACAAATAGCATACTTTTATTATGAATGAGTGGAAAATAAAAACAACTATTTATAGATCAGCTTCAATTTTATCAAATTATTATTTACCAAATTTGGCACTTAATAACCCTATAGTAACATATACAATACGTAATGTTAATAAGATATCATACAATCATATACATTATATCACAGATCAGATTTTTCTTGAACTGGGTTTGAATCTAATAAATGATAACCGATAAACATGAAAGCCCGCAGTCTCATTTTCTCTTGGTAGCACTCTATACATTTCAGGCTCATACTTTTATTCTTACATCATCCCATTAAAAAAGTTTTACATCTTACCTTGTTTTTATTCATTTAATTCTAATTCCAATTCAGCAATTTATTATCATGTATTATCTCTCATTGCGATTATTCATTCATCGTTACATCTGTCAATACCGGCAATAATTCTTTTGTCATGCCGATTTACGCGTATAGTTATCTTTGAAATCTACGTACGTACGTACATATTAGAGCGTCCAGCTTACTGCCTGCATAGATTCTGCACAAATATGTACAAATTCTGATTCTGATCAAAAAAGCTGAATAAGCATAATTATCATTATTAGTTATATAAATAATTATATATATAATTATTAATAACATAACCAATCTTAATTGTATTGGTTAAACAAATTATGCAGAAATAGCTGAACAAAAGTAGTAATTTAACGGCTTAAAAAAGCAGATTTCTGGACACTCCCAATGCATATATAATTAAGAAATATCATAGGTAAGCAGATTTGTCATTAAGAACTGAAATCATTTAACCGCATTAATTTTTACCTCATAGTTTAGGCTAATTTAGCCTAAAATTTTCGAGCATGGTATTAAAACCAGTTAGGGTTAAACTGCTATGCACGGTTAAAACGATTAATTGTTAAAATTTTTTTGGGAGATTCAATTCTGATTGCAATATATATATATATATATATATTATTATTATTATTATTAGAAATAATACTAATCTTTATTTTTTAGGGTTAGGGCGCAGTTTTAGGATTAGATATAAAGGTTTAAATTTAGTTGGGTTTTATCATTCTTACTTAGAACCCCTAACATTAATTACGTACGTACGTTTTTGAGATACAGCACCCCGGTGTTGGTCACTACCGGTTATGGTTAGCAAATTATTATTATTATTATTATTATTATTATTTTATTATTAATTTATTATTATTATTATTATTATTATTATTATTATTTATTATTATTATTATTATTACGTATTATTATTATTTATTATATATAATTAATTAAAAAATTTAAGCCAAAAATCAAATACGTAAAACAAAAAATTAAGCACGGATGTTTAATTATAAAAATTCAAGGTTTTCAAAATTATCATAAACTACAATTCTATTAGCATTGGTATTTGAATGTTTGAATTAACATCGTTATGAAAAATTAATTTTTATTTGGTGACTAATTCTGATTGGTTAAAAAGTATTAGAATATCGATTAATATACGTTAATAACCTTCAAAGTCATTTAGACTTTGAAATGAACAATGGATAGTCATTTATATGGGCCATCTGAGTTGAGCTATTTTAGGTCATCTATCATCATTGCTAACTTCAACTAAGATTATATGAGTAAAATTCGGCTTGAATAATTCGCAAATATATTTGCTTACTAACTATACATGTGTGCCTAAATTGCCCATTTAATAAAAAATAATTATGGTATTTAGTCAGCAGAAATTAGTCTTTATAATTACAATTTTAATTTCATATTTTCCGAAATTATTACCGAAATTTTTTGTAGCTCTAATTAAAATAATCGTTTATATAGTAGTGTAATTATTTCGGTGGATTTCGTGTAGCAATACCGAAAAGGTTGCTAAAAATACTTTTTTCAAAATAATTTAGGCATATATCTATATTTATCGAAAAATTTGAATCTTATAATAAACCTAGAGAATCCTAGAATGAATAGTCCCAGAATAATAATCTCAGAATAATAATCCTTCTTAGAATAATAATCTTAGAATAATAATCTTAGATAATAATCTTAGAATAATGATCTTAGAATACGACACGCATGCATTTAGATAGAATACATTACCGTTTATCAACTAGATATAAAAGATAAAATTAAAAAATAACTAGACATATGATTGGATCAAAATCAGATGCTGCTGTTGTAAGCAAATTATCATGCATGTATGCGTTACATAAGATAAAAATCGTTGACTTATTAGTTAAAAGAGTTAATGCCGAATAAAAAAATAAAAAAATAAAAAAATTATAAATACAATTGATGCAATTATACGTAATTAAATGTGGAGAATAACATAAATTCCAACTTTCATTTCAAAGGCTTTTTACAAGGAACGTTTATTACAGTATAGTTACTATTATACAAATCTTTAAAAATCTATAAATAACCGGTAATTATAAATAGATTTGTTCATATGAACAATAAAAATAATAAATAAATAAATAATTTGAATTTGAATTACTGGCTTGTTGAAAAAAATATGTAATTTAAATTCTTGTTTAAATTTGTGTAAAATTTTTTTGTTATTATGAATCTGTTATTTGACATATAATATGATAAGAATATTAAATTCGATGTTTTTTTTTGTTTCAAAAATAGATTTTTGGCTTGGTTGGACATAATTACTGTAGAAGTAAACAATAATAAAGTCGAAAATTTTTCCAGGAATAAAAATCATGGTTAATATACATGCAAAAAATTTACAAAAATGGTAAATTAACATTGTTTCATGAGGTAATATACTGTATGTGTCTACTTGCACATATCTATTGTACGTACGTAACTGGTAAGTAGGTACTTACGTACGTACGTGCCTTCTATAGGTTTTTTCCAATCTGTAGTCAAAATTATAGGTAGCTTTTTAAGGACACGTGGAGAAGGACAACGTAGATCAGAAATGCACTGTTTACCATAAAAGGAAATGAGTTAACAACAAACATGTACAGAAAAAGTGGTTGTTTTCTACAATTAAATTGTACGTTTGCAACGTTATTTATGCGAATAATTAATAATAATACTAACCAAAAAAAGGGATACAAACCGAAAGAGTTCTCTCAAGTTACAAACGTTAAAAGACTATTGTGTGACAGTTTTATATCTTTATTTTTGGGAGGCGACTGTTTCGAAAATCACGTCGGAGATCAAAACTTGTCATTTAAATAATAAAGCAAACGTTAGTTGACGCATGTGATGTATTTGTGCATGTGACTCAAGGAAAGCTATAAATAAACGCATTTTATTTGCCTTTTTTGTGATACTTCATTATGGGCCGTAACAGGTTAGACGAAATGTCGTGTTTAACATCATTTAAAAAGTTGTGTAATAGAAAAAATGTTTGACCTTTTCTAGCCATAATAACATTAATGATACATAGAAGCTCGTGTTAATCTTTGTCGTTAAGGATTCTAATAAATTGCGGACTTTTGTTCTCGCGCATTTAAGTCGGAAAATATCCGAATTATTTAGAAACAACATTCCTTTCTTTTTTTTTATTTTTCTTTTTTTTCCTTTTTTTTATTTTTTTTTTTACCACACGCCCTATTAATAGATTTTTGTTTAATCTTTATGAACACAAGAATTTGGTTCGGAATTCCATTTGACAAGTACTTAACAATATGGGAGAGTAATTGATCTTTTTGGCATAGTTGTATGCACTGTTGCCCGAAGGCTGTGACTTCTAATTTGATTGATGTTATGCCAACTGGTATATTTAGAATCGAACTTATTCGTTTATTTTGGATTTAAAATTATAAGATAAATTATTATTTTTTTTATATTACAAGTTTTTTTAGATTACACGTATTTATACTGTAAACTTGTGATGTTTCGCATGATTTTTTTAATACAAAATTATACAAAAATATACAAAAATGGGTTATGCCAGATAATCCTGGTACGTAAGTACGATATGTAATCAAGTGCTTATATTTCCATATTTCAATTCCGATTATTATCTTTATATAACGATATATAATATAAAATTATTGTACGTATTATATTAATTTCTAAAAAAGGAATTTGATCTTTTCTATTTTTAGACGAAAATCATCCAAAAGTATTATAAATAAATTCATTTATTCATTTTCCACTAAAAATAGCTCATTTTATTACCTTCAAATTTTCACCGACTTAGGTTGTATGTACCCGTTGATTCGTGCAATAATTGCAAGAATATCCATATTGATATCCCACATTCCAATAATACAATTGCTTTAATCTCTTATATTAGGCTAATAAATTTTTTTAAATTTTTTTTTCCTTTTTTTTTTTTTTTTTTTTTTAGTGTAATTTATTAATTTAAAAATTATGCACACAATATATGTATACAAACAAAACAAAAAAAAAACTTACATAAAACGTCAAAAAATGTATATTTTAAACTCTTGTTGCGTTTTATCTATTAGGCATTTTTATGGACGCTTTCCTTTTAAACCACCATATATTTTTTTTACTCGCCTAAAACATAATAATGACTCAAGTAAAAAAATTAACAAGTAAACGTGCAGAGGCCCAAAAAAAGATAAAAGTATTTCAACGTGGGGAACAAAAGATTAAACTTGATATCCATAGAGAGCGTCCAATTTTGCCTCCCCTACCTCTGCCATATCCTCCCGCAACTCGTGTGGAAAAAATTGTAGAAAAGCTTATATCGAAACCTAAACTGGCGAGATTTCCCAATGCTTTTATTATGTATAGAAATGAATACGTTCAATTTTTAAAAGCTAGTGGCCTTAGTTTTCCTATGACAGAATTATCTCCAATGATTTCTTATTCTTGGAAACATGAACCTCCTTGTGTAAAAGATGCTTACACTCAAATTTCAAGTGAAGCTGAAAGATTGTATGTTCAAACAATCGCAACACCAAAAGATTCTAACAACCAAAACCAAGGTTGTGATTTACTTTCTTTACCTGAGAATGATCAAGATAACGATAATCCCCCTTCTGATATTGATCCTACTTTTCAAAATGAAAATGAAAGTCAATATCATGATAATTATCTTCATGATTATAATACTTTTCTTGGTATGCCTTCCTATTTTTTGGAGCAATGTGAAAATAGTACAACTGTGCAAACAAATTCTTCTTCATCTGAGTCTTCATGGCTCACTGAAAGTTATGAACTTTCTACCAACGACACACAAAATTCTGTTGAACAAGGTAACAACGATGATACATTAACAAATCAAGGACAACATGCAATTTTTGATGGTCAACTTATTGATTGGACCAACCTAAACGAATCTTGCTTACCCGTCTCTCCTTCACGTCGTTGTTCTGAATCGAGTATAAATTCTGATTTGTCATCTTGTGATATGATTCATTTAATGAATGAAACAAATATGTTAACGATCAATGAAACTTCACCTGCTCCGTACATTAATCAAATATTTCCTGAAAATCTACCATTACCAATTTTCGATAATCTACACGGGCAATTTGATGATCAATCCTTCTTTACACCTTCTTTGGATACTGACTCTCTTTCTAGTCAATATGATTCTAACCCGCAAACGCCCGCTTCACCACAATTTTCTGCTTCGTCGATTAACGATAAAAATAAACACGAACTTTCCGAAATTACAATTGATATATATTCTGCAATTGATTGCGCTCTATCGTCGTTCAAACTTAATGCGAACAATGATTATTAAATCGTCTTTTAATATATACAAAATATAAAAGCAATACGAAGTTTTCACGGTAACGCAATCACAAACGATCTTAGATTTTATTTTTTTTCTATGCATTTTTTTTTAAAAAAAATTGAACAATTTAAATGAATGTCGTCTTTACGTGACGCATCGCAAAAGTACAATAGATTTAACGCAAACACAAAAATTTAATTTTTTTTTTTTTTAAAAAAAAAAATCTTTTTTTTTTAAAATTCATTAGTTTCGATTCACTAATTTTTTTTTATAAAACATTTTCATTCGAATACTACCTAAAGAAGAACTTAAATTTCGTTTTTGTATAAATTAAATTAACCTATCGTTATTTTAAATATCGGTACTTTTTTGTACATAAAAAAAAAAAACAAAAGAAAAAAAGAAAAAAAAAACAAAAAAAAAAAAAAAAAGAGAAACGGGGTTTTGATATACTTCATTTTTTTTAATATAGACAAAAAAATTCATACGAACATATAAAAAGCTACTATGCTAATTTTTTCCAATTTGTAAATTTCTTTCTGCTAAATAATATATGCAAAAAAAAAAAATAATAATTACGTTTATTTTTAAGGTTTAAGGTTTAAATTACTAAAGAAATTAATACGATCTTAATTTATTTTCTAAAGTCATATTACAATAATAATAAAAAAGTAACGTACTAAAGTATCAATTTTACCGACCAAAATGTAATACTATATCGATATGTTTAAGTTCATATACAAAAAAATTATTTAGAGTTAGATAATTCTATATCAGTATACAGTGAGTATACAAAATATTTTAGTGTCAACCATTTCGAAAACCGCGATAATATAAATATAAATTATAAATAATAAATATAAAATAATAAACATTCCTTTTTCTTTAGGATATTATTAATTTTTTAACAAAGAATGCACATACATACGTGGGGAATTCAAGTGATACAATAATAAATTCTTGTCACAATAAAATGCAAAAGTTTCTTTCTTCTCCTATATCATTTATTTACCTAATACTTTTCTATTGTTATTCAAATTTAAAATTTTGTTCGGTACGTGTTTAAGTAATTTTGGGTATCGGCAAAAAGTTAATTATCTTGTTTCTTGTGTAAATCATACTGTAAGGGAGGGATTCTAATACAAACAAGGTTAAATTCTAAAAGAAATCTAAAATAAAGTCTTACGTAAAATAGTGATTGATTTATTTATTTATTTTAAGAAATAGTTTGACATAAAGATACTGTAATCTGGTTAAAGTTTTATCGGAGATTTTTTTTGATATCAAGATCTCGACCGATAAGATAGTTCACTTCCAATGCTAAAAAACTAATACAGTATCATCAAGAAATAAATTTCACGTGATAAAACAAGTATCGGTATAATTTGATAACGATAAGTATAGTTTTTGTTTACATTTAACCAAAAAAATTATTTTCATCGAATTCCATGATGGAACTTTTATTTTTCTCATGTGATTGAATTACATCATCATTAAATGTAAATTTTATACGTATACGTATAAAAATTTTTATTATTAATAATCTTATCTATACGTACACACACTATCGCTATGCAGAATTGCAGAATTATGTCAACTTCTAATATAATCTTAATAAGCCACATGTCAATGACCTATCCGAACATACCAGACTCAACATTTATGTGCATACAGCACATAATTACGAATAGTACGTACGCACGTACGATGCGCGTGTTTTAATAAGATTTTATGAAATTCGATAAACCTAACATTTTTGTGTAATATTAATTTGCCAGACTTTATTATTTTTCCGTGGTAATTATTAATCTAAAAATAGCGTGACATAAATAACTTCGTATCATATAAATAAAATCTACACTATGCTGAAAAATAAAGTCACAAACATATTGCTAAATATATATGTACATTACATAACAGTACGTACGTATGTACGTATAAAAAAACTTCTCGAGATCTTTTGAAATTATACATTCACTTAAATGGTATAATTTCACGAATAAACAATAATATATGCGTGAAGAACTTTGACGAGCTTCATTACTGCATTACCTTGCTCTGCGACATTCCTGATCATCCCGATGAGAAACTCGGCCCGGTCAACCGGCGGACCTTTTTGCTGGCTTAATTTTCCTAATCAGAATTAGTCTTCATATTTATACTAAACGTGTAAAAAGTCCTCAGTTAGCTCCTTGCTAAAATTCTAATAATACTAGTCTTTGTTCTTTTGTCTTTGGCTTTTATGTTAATATTCTATGTTGATTAAATGTTTATGCATATCCTATCCTTAGGAGAATACCATTTATTATGTAATTTAAGAGGGGTAGTCTACCACGTCTATATATATGTATATAAATTTTTATGATTAAAGGAGGCCTGATCTTTTAAATAAAGAGAAATTACGTAATGAACGGTACACCCTTATATTTATTCGTTATTTACCAATTTTAGCCAGTGATCCAAAATCCACATCCGCTTTAAAATCCGATCCTGCACGGATATAATTCTTCGAGTTGACGTAAAGTCAAAGAGCTAAGCCTGGTGATGCGCCTCGTGAAACCATCAATCGGAATAAATCCAATTCCGGATGATCAAAGGAGGTGAATATGATCTGAATGACTTTCCACAAGTAGTAATCACTAACTTAATAAAGGCGGTAATGAGAAGAAGATAGAAACCAATCGGGACCGGTCATCATAAATGTGAATATCTATATAGGCAGGAAACCACCGACCAGCGCTATTTCTGGGGATCGTCTAAAGCCAGGTAGTAATTTATATCTATCACGTGATTTAATTTGCAAATTTGGAGGGAGGTCTAAATCAAATTGTTACTAACAAATCTGTAATTAAAATCACGTGATTCATATAAATTACTATATACTTGGCTTTAGACAATCCCCAAATTGTTAGTAATCAATTTAAAAACTATACCCGGCTTTAGACGACCTCTATTTCCGGGTGCACATCCCATTTCAGTTTTAATAACGTATAATTTGCAACTAATATAATCTGCATTCATCAAATAAAATTCAACTCCGGTATGTCAGACCGGATATAAAAAACATTCGTGCAATGCTTTTTGTTATGAAAAATAATACTCGGATATGTCCGGATCATCCTATAATTTATGATTATCTGTCGTGTAACCATGTAATTAACCATGTAATTAACCGTTATTTGTAATTAAAGCCGTGGAACTTGATCCAAACTTACTGTATGAATTGGGATTTGGGACAAATAACACAATTTGTACCAATAATTATAACTATTTGGACGCGGAAATCTTCAATCTTTGTGATTAGATAAATTGAATGATGAGGTTACATAGAATTTGAGCCAATAATATATGATATAATGTGATTACTAGGATTGAAAAGTGATTATTTGCCAGTGATTGTAAAATTACTTATGAGTTACTTATCAGTTATCAGTTTTTATACGCTGTTCATGAGTAAAGTAACCAAAAACAACCCACATATGGGCAGAAATTTTGATTTTAGTGATTCGAATTTTAATAATCGCAACATCATATTATGTGATTTGAAGCAGGTTTCACAATTAAAACAAAAAAGAATAGTTTGCTTTATGCTTTCATAGGTCATTTAAATTTCGAAAATATAAAATTGTAAGGTTTAAAGAAAAATATCGTGTTTAAAAACACAGCATTCCTAGCACAATCATACGCAGAACTAACGAAAAATACTGTCAACAAACATCTAATAAAGATTTTTTTTTTATAAAGGTATATATACCTTGGTCATATAAAGTTTGATATAACCTAAAATGGCCAACACTGCTATAGTAAGGGATGCTTATTCATGGTAAAGATTAAAAATGCACGGAACTAGGTTTGGTATTAAGTAAACCTAGTTTCGGTATATTTTTGTTATTTATTTTTTATATAAAGAGATGATTTAAAAAAATATATTTGTTTTAAAATAACGCACATGTGCGCACTCTAAATAACGCGCAGGTGAGCGTTATTACGCGCGAAAATACGGTATTCTTAATCCGGCTTGTCTAACAAACTATCAAGTGATCACCTGATCTGAAAATTCTTTTTCATTCATTTGACATTTCTTGCTTCAGTTAAGTGGTTATAAGCCAAAAACCAAAAAATTAGTCGAATATAACTGCTTCGGGACTACCTCATGACTTCGTCACAAACATGTTCAATAGAGTCAAATGCTTTTTTGATAATAATCGATTAAATTTTAAATTTAAAAGTAATTGAACTTTCTTTACATAATTTATTATTGATTGTAAAGTACCAATATAATAAATTGTTATTAGATCCATAATTAAAGTCAAAATTATATGTATCCCACGAACAATGACGTACAAATATAAATATTGTAATCTTTTCATATACAACCTAAAAATTTTGTAGAAATGCGTAAGCATGTCCACTAAACCTTACATTAATAAAATTCATAAAATTAACAAATAAAAAAAAAAAAAATTGTTATATGAAATCTCTTAAATATTGTAAAGTTTATCTTTTACCATCTAACATTATACACATTATAAATTAGTTAATAAACATTGAAACCTTTGTTGCTTTGAATAGTAGAAATAATAAAAACTTCATGCCAAGTAAAATTCTAAAAACCATAATCGCTCCTTATCTGTTATCTGATATGCGTAGAGACTAATTACGTAGTACGTACGTACTGTTTTCACAGAACAGCATAATAACGACAATAACGATCATGCTCACCTGCCATTATAGGTGTTATTCTAAACCATGCATGCATGTTATTTTTAGCACGTACGTACGTACGCACAGTGCAGGAAAAAATTTAAAACCTCAAACTCTTTATATAGAGACACTGCATAAACTAGTAGTACATCGAAATAAATCATCTAAATTATCCTTCTCAATAAAGTGAAGGATCTCCCTGCATATAGAATAAATACGCCAAGAATAACAGATAATATATACTTAATTGTATCTATTCTATGCACACCGAAATAAGCCTCTTACTGAGAATAACTTTGGCT